CACATTTCTAGCAAATTAACTATTCAGGCTTCAGCATCGTCACTTTTGGGTACTTATCCCCTATTCGAACTAGCATGCAATAGATTCCTTTGACAAGGGGAGGGCACGATTAGGAAAATTCAGTTCGGGATGGGACTTAGTTCATTAATAGTATAACTTTAGAGTGTTCATCCATTAAAATGCTGAAGTGCAATGGCCAGCCAATTGGGAGAAAATGGCTCTCAAACTTTCAGCATAGCTTATATACCAGTAAGTTGTTACCGTCGTTGAAGCGCGGATAGTATGGACGGTATAATACTGGTATGCAATCCTTTTGCCCAGGGTTCAATCCGCCTCCGTTTTCTTTTTTGAAAATATTTTTTTTTAAATTAATATTTAATTAAATTAAAATTTTATAAACATCTTTTATTAAAATATTAATAATTTTTAAGCATTAAATATTTTTATTCGATTGATATATCAATCATAGTCACAATTTTTAAACAGTTAAATTATCATAAAAACAATTTTAATGATGTTAAATAATAAGTATAATTACGATTATCATTATTATTATATGTCATTAAAATTTGATAGAAATTTTAATGCCATGCATTTCACAACGTTTTGAATTATGAAATAGGAATATTTCTCTTCGGAAAGCTCAAAAATATATCCTTCAATCCACCACAGCTTGTTTACATGCGACATTTTGAAAGAGAATACATTTAAAAGTTTGATTTGATTTGATTGGGGTTTGAGATTTTCAGCAACAAAGACTATTATCTCCTATTCATTCCAAAGTTCTTTTCAATCCGTAATCAAAAAAAGAGATAAAAATTACCATCAAAAGACGGGCTAAAATTATTGCCGATCTGATTTGGTCAAGAGAAAAAAAATGGCACCCTTCGAAAAAGGTCTCCATATTCTTTTTCCATTTAAAAGTATCAGAATAATTCTAATTTCAAATAATAAGCTGTTGCCAGAAATTTTTATTCCAAAACATTTGCTCTTTTAAAATTCTTTATCAAAATTGTTCTAAAAATGTGTAAACACCCTTTGTAAATTATGTTTAATCATTATTCTAGAGAAGTAATCTTTATGCATATATCGCTTCACCTCTGATCATCACTGCAGAAATACCACAAAATGTTGTACCGTCGGGCTCATCATTCTTATAATAAGGCTTAAGAAATTTTTTCCGGAATAGCTCTGAAGGAAAATAAAAGCGTTATTCTTTTATATTCATTTATCGTTTGACGAGAAACCAGTCACGAGTATTGTTTGTGATTATAATAACGGACTTGGGACATGGTTCTAAAGCTATCAAGATATCTGATTCTGATGGCGTTTCAAAGATAAATGTTCAGAAATGGATACGAATACTTCTATCAATCTACATCGTAAGAATAATTTTTTATGTCACTAAGCTGTTATTTGAACTGAATAACTGAATCAACTAAAAAGTTATTAACATGAAGTAGTTAAATGAAATAACTAAATAAGTTTTTAATATCACATTTTTTATTTGGTGTAATACTATTATTTGCTAAACCAAGGGCTTTAATGGGAAAAAATATCTAAAAAAGAATTTAAATATTTATATATTTATTTCGGTTATCCTCTTTTTTGTGTTTGGCAACGTTTCTAATTATTATGGACGAGTTTTCTGGTTTGTTTACTGGCCTGTAATACGTATTTCAGGTGAAATGCGAAAAAGAATATGGAGGCCTTTCTAGGAGGGTGCCATTTTTTTTCTCTTGACAGAATCAGATCGGCAATATTTTTAGGCCATCTTTTGATGGCAATTTTCATTTCTTTTTTGATTACGAATTGAAAAGAACTTTGGAATGAATAGGGGATAATAGCCTTTGAAATGATAATGCAAAAATGCTGAAATCCCCCCCCCAATCAAAACAAATCAAACGGGTGTAATGCAAAGTTAATGGATCTTCAAAGCGGAAATCCGAAAGTAATACAGATAAAGTCAAGGCTTTTACTGTATGTAAACAAAGCAGAAAACACGTCCATATAGACATGTTCTGTGCTTTGTTTACTTACATTTAAAACCTTGACTTTATTTGCATTACTTTTGGATTTCCGCTTTGAAGATTCCATTGACTTACGTATTACGAATTACACCGGAATTACGTATTACGAATTACGTATTAAAAAAGTAGGTAAGTAAATTAAGTAGTTAATTAAGTTAGTAGTAAGTAAGTAGTTAAGTAGTAAATTAAGTAGGTAAGTTGAAAGTAGTAGTAAATTCGTAGGTAAGACATTTTATTGTAAATAAACAAAACAGAAAAATCATCCATTCATGGGGTTTTTTTTGTTTGTTTTTCTAAAAATCGTCTGGCTTTATTCTTTTCCTTTTTTTATGCTTATGTTAAAATTTATTTAGGATCCAGATTTTTTGTGTCGCAATGTTTCTAATGCCAGCGTATAAATTAAATAAAAAGGTTAATCGAAATTGCTCTGTTATTCTGTAAATGTATTTATTGTCATTTAAATGATGGCTGAATATTTATCTGAGAGTAGTGAGACTTGTCAAGTCCTTTGACTTACTTTATGAAAATCACTGTCTATCCTTTGCTGTTCGTTATAAATCAGATTTATGCGCTGTTTCCCAACTGCTGACACAATTTGACTACGACTGAATGAAACGATATTTTCAATTTGTATACTGTTGTAGATTCATGAAGAATATTTGATAGAATAGACTTTTGCGTACAAACATTGTGTGGTCCTTCTACAGCGGTATGGCACATTTACCACTGAAAACCTGTCTAACTTTTTTACTTAATACGCTTTTTACTGCTTAGTAACATGAAAATATCTCTGTTCGAAAGAATGAAGATGAGCTCTTTTATGAAATGTCACTCGTCTACAGGGCTGATGGTAAGTGTAACGTATTTTATCAATGTTTAATGTACCTTTTTTGTGATGAGTTTTTATCTTAATTCTTAAGATAGCTTCTTTTCGAATTTTAATTAATAGATTTTTAAACACTGAATAGTTCTCTTTTCACAGAAAAAGAAACGTTGTTTATAAATCAAATACTTTCCAAAAATGTCTTTTTGTCATTTTTAATTTTTATTTTAGGACTGCACAAAGCGTTATCGAATTTAGTTTCCAGTGGAATCCTTTCTTGATCACGTGATACACTTCCAATGTTCCGGACCAATTTAATACGGGACTGCACTTCTCTTCTTGTAGGAGGAAAAAATGAGTGATTTTATATTGGTTTTGAGTAGTTTAATATAAAATGGAAATATCTAATTGTATTTCATCAACTGAAAATAAATTGCAGACATCGTATTAGTATGTAAAAATTTTCTAAATGAGTTTTAAATTAAAATTCTTGAAATACAGAACGGACAAAAAACTATTCGAAAAAGTTGAGTGCATCCATGCCTAAGAGAAAAATTTGTTTTAAATTGATAATTTTTAAATAGGTGTGGAAAAGTGAACGAATAATTGCTGCATAGAACTATTTTTTTCCGTAGTTTAAACTATCCAATATATCATTTCTGTTGTCAACGTCTCTTTTTCTCGAGTAATACAAAGCCTATAGCGATGAATAAAGTATATGTGGATATCATTTTCACTGATTTCTGACAGAGCGTACTCAGTTGGCGATAAACGCAGCATTTATTTAAAATTTAAGAGAGTTTAAAGTAAAATGACAACACCCTTGCTATTAATCGCGATCTATGAAAGTTCTTTTCTTGCACGCGTAATTCACTTGCAGTGAAAATAACTTTCTTAATTTTCGCAATAACAAGTGCATAATTCTGTTCTTAATTCTGTTGTCAACATCCATTTTTCGCAACTAATCCAAAGTCTACTCTGACATAAAATATACTATACAAAGAGGTATTGTATACTGTAAATACGCTCGCACCAATAAACTGACCGGGCTATTTTGTGCATATGCTTAATATATATTATAAGTTAATATATATATCTAATTTCAGCAACCCAGCCAAAGATTAAATCATTTTTGAGGGAAGAAGGAAAGGTTGAATGTAAAACGTTTAGCACGGGTTTTCTAATTGCATTATAATTTACTAACGAATGGAGTCATTTCATATTATGTCATAATCTTGTGGTAAATATAACTCCTCGTGTCATTTGAACAAGTCACTAAATATTGCGTTGTATGACACAGTGTGGAAACGCCCGTCATCTGACTTTTTCTGTGCTATGGCACAGCGGATACAGTTTGAGAAATTTTTTTTATTGAAAAATTCCTTATTGGTCTACTTTTGGTTGTAAAGAAAGCAACAGAGACTTATGAAAACGGTTTTGTGCACTTTTATTTAAAAAGATGTGTTTCATGTTTGTAAAGATGAAATTTAGTAATCGATTTCTTATTCACTTTTTGATATGCTAGAGGTTTGGAACTTGTTGCATTTATGTATTCTCGATGAGGATACACCTTTTCAGAACTTAATCATCAGTTATTCGATTAATTTAATTAAAATTTGCCTCCATATGAATGGCGCCATCTGATTGTGAATTCTATCAAAAATAGATTAAAATATTCCATAATATTCATAATAACTAATTATAGGTCAGAGGCTAAAATAGAAAATAATTCAATTAAAAAAATTCTACTTTTTAGTATCCTAATAAATGTGTGTTTTTAAAAACTGATTTTATTGAATTTACTCAAGCTTTTACTTACTAATCCTGAGTTCTTTAAAACATGGACTAAGAAAATGCGAAGATAAGTTCTTAAACTTACATCATGCAGTGTCATAACAACCAGGGGACAAGGGGGTATAAATGCCCAGGGAGACAGACTTAGGAGGCACCATTGGGACAAAAAATTATTGCGTTTATGACACTTTTTCAAGAGAAATATCATAAGAGAACGAAAAAATAATGCTCTGCTCCGGGCGCCACTTGCTCTCGCTACGCCACTGCCAACGACACATGTCTGAAGAAGGTTAATTAAAAGAGTGACCGTAGCCGAGAGTAGAAGCGAGCCAAAGCTGCCGAAAAAGAAACGTTTCCCCAGGTGAGACTCGAACTCATAGCCTCGGCATTACTCGCAGATACTGCCGTATAAGTACCGTGCGCTAACGAATTGCGCCACTGGGGGCACGGAACCAGGCTTTTCTGTACAGAAATATTTGAAATCTGACAAGCAATTAATAAATTTGCATACATTATCCGTCTTTATTTTAAAATCTTCAACCAACGACCAGTGGCGTAGCCACTGGGGAATAAGAGCGTGTAGACTTAGCCCGCCAGACTTAGGGGGGCGCCAGTGTAACAAAATATTATTGCGTTTACGTGACTTTTTCATATGAAATTTTATAAGGGGGTGTAAAAATTCTATGTCCCGGCCGCCACTTACCCCCGCTACGCCACTGACATCATGCTGGATTCAATATTCTTCTAGATATAAAGATTTTTACAACGCTCTGGTGTGCTGTATATCTGTAAGTTAATTTGTAAAAATAATAAAAATTAATCTAATTAATAATTTAAATAAAACTAGCTAAATATCTTATAAATCCAAGAAACGTAATTTCAGTTTAGATTAGACTTACTATAATAACAGTAATGAACGTGACTGATTATTCTGATATAAATAGGAAACGAAATTAAATAAAACAGATAAGGTTTAAGAACAAATAGAAACAAATATAACTTTAATTAATGTGCAAATATAATAACTATGTTTAAATTAGAAAAAATATAAATAATTATTTTAGACAGAAAAAGATTGTTCTTAACATTGAAAAATGAATAATTATTTTCAACAGAAAAAGAATTGTTCTTAGAATTACAAGCAGCAACTTCACGGTGTGCAATGGTTCCAAATTTGAATGAGCTCGGGTTATTATATTGAATCACAGGGTAATGAATTAAATCTGTTGCTCTGAATTAGATATTTCGTTGCTTTAAATAACCATCTTGCTAACTTTTAATTTATTTTTCTACTTTCTTATATGTTCTCTTGTGGTTTCAAAAGAAAGTAAATAGATTAATGGTTAATGAGTACTAAAATACAGTGAAATTGGAAGCCCCATGAAAGCTTTTTTCATGGAATAAGAGTCAGTGACTGAAACATTTAAAGTGTCTTGATTCACAGGATATAAAACATATTCTACATGCTTTGAACGATGCTATTGCTTATTGATAACAAGTATTCTGTAAAATTGATTCCCAATATTTAAATAACTCACTACGATTTCCTTCAAAAGTCTGGCTCAAACAAATACAGCGGCTGCTTCTATCTGAAAATAAAATTACATTTTTCACTTATTCAAGCTATTGTAAACAAAAACACTTACAAGATTTGAAGGCAAGAAAATGTTAAAGTTCTTCAAATTATGTGCAAGAGTGATTTCCCAACTTCACACTATCCAATAATCCTTTCTTAAGAGCATTATGGTCCTCTCGTCGTAACGTTTCAGTTGAGCTCAATTGCTAAGTCTGACTTCATCACGAAATTTCCAGAAAAGGCATTTCCGAAAGAAAAAGCAATACTGAAATCAGGCGTGGAGGAAATGGCTCATCATCAATTTGATTCTGTATCATAAATCTGAAAACTATAACATTATGTAAGGCATTGCTGGATTCTTCAACATAAAATACTTGGATATGCAGCATGTCTTAAACGTTATTATCTATTGGGACGAAAATTCGTTCAGTCGATGTATGGTGAAAACAGACCAACAGGCAGGATAATGGAGAACGACACTTTATTCACGAATATTCCGGAAAACACGAAGCACAGATGACAAGAGAAATGGCATTTGTACAAAATTAGTAACACAAATAGTCAATAAATTACTAGTAATAACAGCACTTTCAATACCGCTCGACATCTATCAGCTTACAAACTTGCACTGCGAACAAGACTCCAAAGAAGTTTCCAGTCGTCCAAACACGTTCACTCGTCTCAACAACTCCGGGTATTTATAATCTTCCCGACAGAGCATGACGTCACATGGAAATATCTGGAGAAATCCGGATCTTGGCTCCTATAAGAGATAGGACCTCAATTCGAGACCCTTCGCTTTGTCACCAAAGTCTCCAAAATGGTCGCCAAGGTCAGGGGGTGTTGGCTTGACTTTTCCCGATAGCTGGTAAGAGACTCTGTAAATGTCCTTTCAAACCATAAGACTAACATTGCTGGGAGGCGACATTCCAGGTTCGTAATACTATCTTAGAAATAGTGCGGTTAGAAAAATAACAATGCTCATCAAAGATATGTGAGTGTGTCATGTAAGTTTTCTCTTTTCAGTGCGTGCAATTGCAAAAATGTTCAATTTCAAATCCACGTCATAATGCTGACTGTACAAAAATCATTATTTGTAGAAATCTGCAAAATGGGAAACATAAAATGTACGAAAATCGGAAAATATTTTGGAAGGAAAATTCTCAAAACAGATCAAATAGACAAGGCCGCTCTTGAATTAGTGACTAAATTAAACGAACTGGATTTTTGCTTGATATCCGAAGTGGATACTCAAGAGATACCTTTCACAGGATTTCGCTCTTTTTTTCTCGATGGGAATTCTTAAAGTCTCAGGTGTTCCAGCGTCCTAAAATTTAAAACGCGATGGAATTTTTAAAATATAGCCTCATAAAAGCTGGTATTAGTTTTTCGGGAAATACTACATCGTTTTAAGCTTGGTAGAAACATAGCTTGTTATCATCCGGAGATTAAACTTCAAACATTCCCAAATCTACTTGATACTTTATTTGTATCAAATTTATTTTTTCCAGTTTCCATAATTTTTTGAGATCGACAGTAACGTTTTGTATGCCTGTACAATGTAATCAATGAAAGCTAAGAAATATTGATCTGTCTGAAGAGAATGAAGTTGTTTTTTGTTTAATTGGTTTTAACCGATCTAGATGTAACTGTACGGCTTTCATAAATATATCAGCTACAATGATTTCAACAAAAAACGCATGGAACTTTTCCGTCCTTCCCGAACTCTATAAAATCATATCCATTCACAAACTAATATCCACCACAAAAAAGGAACCAAAATGACTTTAAAAAAGAAAAAGAATCGTATCGT